CCCTCACCACAACCGCTCTCAGCTTCCCCAGCGCCGCGACGAGGAAGTCGAGGCCCGAAAACGCGAACAGGAGAAAGAAAGAGCTCGAAGGGACAGGCTGTACAATCTCAACCGTTCGGGAACAAACGCTGGACAGAGAAGAGAATCTGCTGTGTTCAAATCATCAGTTGATATTCAACCTGAATGGAATATGCTCGATCAGATCCCGTTTTCAACTTTCTCCAAGCTTTCCTTCTCCGTTCCGGAGCCTGAGGACTTGCTGATCTGCGGCAGCCTTGAGTTTTACGACCGGTCCTACGATCGGATTACTCCGAAGAATGAACGTCGTCTGGAGAGGTTTAAGAACAGGAATTTCTTCAAAGTTACTACTACGGATGATCCTGTTATCCGCCGTTTGGCTAATGAGGATAAAGCTACTGTTTTTGCAACGGATACGATTTTGTCTACTTTAATGTGTGCTCCTAGGTCTGTTTACTCGTGGGATATTGTAGTTCAGCGTGTTGGAAATAAGTTGTTTTTCGACAAGCGTGATGGGTCCCAGCTGGATTTGCTCTCTGTTCATGAAACTTCCCAAGAACCATTGCCTGATGTGAAGGATGACATTAATTCGGCTCATTCGTTGAGTGTTGAGGCTGCTTATATCAATCAGAATTTCTCGCAACAGGTTCTGATAAGAGATGGGAAGAAGTTGAATTATGATGAGCCTAACCCGTTTGCGACTGAAGGGGAAGAGGTGGCGTCCGTTGGTTACAGGTACAGGAGGTGGAAGTTGGATGATGATACCTTTTTGGTGGCACGATGTGAAGTGCAGAGTGTGGTGGAAGTGAACAATCAGAGATCATTCTTGACTCTGAATGCACTAAATGAGTTTGATCCTAAGTACTCTGGGGTTGATTGGAGGCAGAAGCTTGAGACGCAAAGGGGTGCTGTGTTAGCTACCGAGTTGAAGAATAACGCAAATAAGCTCGCGAAATGGACTGCACAAGCGTTGCTAGCTAATGCTGATATGATGAAGTTGGGTTATGTATCAAGAGTCCATCCTAGGGATCATTTTAACCATGTGATATTAGCTGTTGTTGGATATAAGCCTAAGGACTTTGCTGCACAAATCAATTTGAACACATCAAACATGTGGGGTATTGTGAAAAGTATTGTGGACTTGTGTATGAAGTTGAATGAAGGGAAATATGTGCTTGTTAAGGACCCAACCAAGCCACAGGTTAGGATTTATGAGGTCCCTCCAGATGCATTTGAGAACGACTATGTTGAGGAGCCATTGCCAGAAGACGAACAAGTTCAGCCTCCTACAGAGGATGCGCAAGGTGCTGAGGCAAATGGGGCTGCAAATGAAGTAGAGGACAAGGAGATTAGCACTGAAGCTGCATAAGGGTAATATGATACTGCACTAGGATAATGATTCTTCCTCTCAATATTAGTGTTCTGCCGTTGAGAATTATTGCTCTTAGATAGTGTGACTGTACTTTGCGTTCTTAATTATTTTCAGTTTTGCTATTCTTATACTATGATTGCTCTTGGATAATGTTGCTATTCTTATACTATGATTGCTCTTAGATAGTGTGACTGTACTTTGCGTTCTTAATTATTTTCAGTTTTGCTATTCTTATACTATGATTGCTCTTGGATAATGTTGTCTCTTTTGAAGAAGGTGGGGAAAAAGTTTATCAATACATATAGTTCAAAGTGGATTTTATCTTCACTCAATTTTCTCCTTAGAACCATTCGTTGTGCTAATAGCTGATCTGCTTCGAAACTTTGATGTTTGCCTTTTCCTTTAAATGAATTAGCCATGATGTGGCTGTGAAAACCGCTTTTCATTTATAACTTTAAAGCCACATAGTTGCCTTTGATGTTATGTGAACAGATGCTATTACCCATTTATTAGTATCTTAAGGATATATTCATACTCCACTTTCCTCCGAGAGCGTGAAGTCTCTTAAAAGGAGAAAACTGAATCATAAATTTAGGATAATAGAAGACATAATAAAATCTGGAACGATGAGAAAAATGAAAGTGAATTGAAACACCTTGGTGTCAAGGACACTGTAGGGGTGGGTCCTTACCGGAAAAAGGACACCTTATGTCAAGGACTCTTGTTTGCTTTCAACTACTACACTCCGTATATAAGAAAAAAAGTAAATCCTTAGTTACAGGACTTGACAAGAAATTGCCTTATAAAGATTTTACAAGACAAACCTATTTGCAATAAGATGAACTTAATACCTACACTGAGGGACTCTTAGCTATTTGTAGAGCATTGTGGCTGAGTGTATTTTCTAGTAAGTTGGTTGCAGTGGCCCTTGTAGGGATAGCAGCTTGGTTGTGGTCTTGCGTTCCGGGGCTGTGTGCTGCATCTGTGTGAACCGATGTACTGCCGATGCAGTGGAAACTTGATGTGCCTGTGTGTTGTGGGCCAGAAGTCAATTAGTTGTACAAATAGCTGTAGATGCGCTTGTCTGTTAGCACGGCCAAGGTTTGGAGGTTGTACATAACATAGGGTGCTTATACGCTTCTTTTAGTCCGCGGCGAGTTTCGACTAATGATTCATGGGATAAATATAAAATGCAGCCCACGAGTTTTATTATGCATGTGTTGTGCTTGGATTTTTGCAGTACCTATAGAAGCTGTACTGTGGTTGTTTGCCTTCATGCATATGCTGTATATTTGGACCCAACTAGGAGAGTATAGACAGAAGAGAATGTACTCCAACATATGCTAAAAGAGTAGCTTAATGCAAAGCTGATAATCATGCCCTTCTCGAAGCTAGTTATGGATTTTCTTGGATCTGCTTTTGGTAACCTGTTCGTGTAGGAGTCTTGTGGATCACTTCATCAATACTTAACCCCCCTCCCCTTTCCCTTCCTTACCTTAGGTTTCGTGGAATCTGTTTCTGAAAGTTGTTATTGCTTGAGCCAAGAGGCTACAAGGTCTGTACTATTGTTTGCCTGTGGCTTTGCGGACAACTTGGGGTGGTTTTGGTTTTGTATAGTTATCAAACTGCACGCAGTTCCCAGGTTTCTGGTTTTTGTGTCCGATTTGAATCATGAGTTATGAGTTGTTGCAAATTACGGGTGTATGTATCTTATTATTGTTGGTGTTTTAACTGTATGAATTCTCACTTTGACTCAACCATTCTTTCGAGGGTAAATTCTTGTTGCTACAATGTAATTTGGAATTTCTATAGAGTGCAGTGTTGTCAAAGGCACACTTAAGCCCGGAAGCAAGGCTCAAAACTTGTTGAGCGCTACGCCTCGCTTTGGGGGCACTTTAGTGTCGCATCAAGGCTTTAAGGCATACATTTTCTTGCCATTGAGTGTAATCCTGAAAAGGCGACACTAAACAATTGATATTTAATTTTATCGTAATTCTTTTTCAATTTTTTTATCTTTATATTTGTTATTCATGCTTACAATTATTGGTGTTGGACACTCTCTCTCTATATATATATAGCCTTTTTTCATTAAAGTCCATGTTTTATTTGTGCTTCGCGCTTAAAGCCCCAACGGATTTTAGAGCTTTTTTGCACTTGTCACCTTTGATAACACTGATAGAGTGATCTATAGAGTGACATTTCTTAAGTATATAGTAATGAGCTACTCTATTATATTCAAGATAAAGAAATTTCATAGAAATACTGTCAATTTTGTTGCCCTGATGACTTGCTACTATGTTCCAGTATGAAGATACTGATTGTTTTTCTTGCCATCCAGGTTGTCCGGGAATAAAGTGATACTGGTTGAAACCTCTTTTAGATCTTGAGCTTTCTCTTATCAACAGCTTTATGAGGTGACTGTGCTCTTGTGTCTTTCCAAACAGATTAGAAACAAGGCATCTTGTCGAGAGCTTTGTACCATCTTAACGAACTTGTTCGGCTTCCTTTCTCCCACCTACTGTAGTGGTTTTTTGATGATTATGGACCTTTGTCAAGGCTAATTTTGTGATAGGTTTCTCTTTTAGTTGGATGTTTTTAAGAAACGGCTTTTCATTATATATTTTTCTGTGGTGTAATACATCATTGACTTTTTAGCCCAATACAATACTTTTGAGAAACCATTCATAAGTTGAAAGAGCATGTGTTGGAAGTTCAGGAAAGGAGTTGAATACGTGGAGTCCCTCTAATCCAATTGGCTTCTCTGTAGCAGTGGTTGATGAAGAATCCATGCTCTTCGACTAACTCTTGAATTTCCTCTATGTACTTCTTGATTCTCCATGGCGGCTTCCATTCGCTATTAACACATTTTGTGAGCAACATGGAGTCTGTCTCTCCCAGAACAAGACTTGCTCCTCTGTTAACGCACCATTTTAGACCAAACAACATTGCATTTGCTTCTGCCATGTTACTTGTGCCCGGGCCTAGTGGGATAGAGTAGGCAAATAATGTATTTCCATAGCTATCTCTAATTATTCCCACCTCCACATTGACCCAATAGGCAACTTCCATCACTATTGAGCTTGATTCTTAGTGTCGGAGGCTTAATCCATTTGACGATGGTTATTGTTCTATGTTGAATGTTTGAGTCACATGCTTGGCATAGGCTGGGCCAGCAGTCTCCTAACCTTGCTCTTCCAAATTGGCTTCTCATTACCTGTACCATATTAATCAATATGTTAGTAGTTGATAAGTAAATGGAAGGTCTTACACCTTCATATTTGCCGTTACACCTGGATCTCCATATTTCCCAGCATATAAATGCAGGGATGATCCTAGTGATGTAGGCCTTAATAGGATTTGTGGTTTTGTGGTTCCACCAATTGAGCAAAGTCATCTTGAGGTTTATATTTCTATGGTCAATGCCAATAGGGCCAGCAAAGAATTGCCACACTTTTTTGGCATGGTCACCATGACAAAAGATATGATCAGCAGTTTCCAGTTCAGCTCGCATATTATCAATGTTACAACAATAACATTTAGGGACTAAGATGTAACCAAACCTAGTCACCCTCTGGTCAGTTGCGAGCTTGTCATGAACAGCTCTCCAAGTTAGAAAAGACATTTTGAATGGAATACTTTTATGCCATATTTTGCTATCCATATAGATTGGTTCTTTTCTCTGTCTAATATTGTTCCATGCGGAGCCAATCGAGAATTTTCCTGTATGTGATGGTGTCCAGATAGCTCTATCATCCTTAGATTCGTTAAGGATGATTTTCAGATCAATGGTTTTATTCTTTAATTCATCAGGAGGTTGTATCATAAGGTAGTCCCAGTCCCAGTCCCAGTCCCAGGACCCCTCTTTTAATACCTCTTTTAGTTTAGCATGGCCCAAACTAGCATTAGGTGTCATCAAGTGGTACAATGGTCCTAAATTAGACCAATTATCATACCAAAAGTATACATCACCTTTTCCAATATCCCAGAGAACTTTGGAATCAGAATTGATTTTAATTTCACATAAAGCTTTCCAATTGTGAGAGTGACCATTCTGCCACTGAGCCCTTGTGGGGTGGCTCCCTGTAAAGTATTTGGCCTCCATAAAATCACTCCAAAGAGAGCTGGAGGTCCTTGAGGACCACCACTGCTTAATGTTAAAAGCAAGACATATATCAGTGAGCTTTCTAAAATTACC